CTGAACCCTGCACTCTGTATACAGCACACCCTGAAACTCTGCTCCCTGTATGTAGCACACCCCTGAACTCTGCTCCCTGTATGAAGCACACCCCTGAACCCTGCACTCTGTATGCAGCGCACCCTTGAACTGTGCACTCTGTATGTAAAACACACCCTAACCCTGCACTCTGTACACAGCGCACCCCTGAACTCTGCACTCTGTATGCAGTGCACCCCTGAACTCTGCACTATGTATGTAGTGCACCCCTGAACCCTGCACTCTGTAAGCAGTGCACCCCTGATCCCTGCACTCTGTATACAGCGGCCCCCTGAACCCTGCACTCTGTATGCAGCACACCCCTGAAACCTGCACTCTGTACGCAGCACACCCTGAACCCTGCACTCTGTGTAGAGTGGACCCCTGAACCCTGCACTCTGTATGCAGCACACTCCTGAACCTGCACTCTGTACACAGCGCACCCCTGAACCCTGCACTCTGTACACAGCGCACCCCTGAACCCTGCACTCTGTATGCAGCACACCCTTGAACCCTGCACTCTGTGTAGAGTGGACCCCTGAACCCTGCACTCTGTATGCAGCACACCCTTGAACCCTGCACTCTGTACACAGCGCACCCCTGAACCCTGCACTCTGTACACAACGCACCCCTGAACCCTGCATTCTGTACGCAGCACACCCTTGAACCCTGCACTCTGTACACAGCGCACCCCTGAACCCTGCACTCTGTACTCAGCGCACCCCTGAACCCTGCACTCTGTACACAGCGCACCCCTGAACCCTGCACTCTGTATGCAGCGCACCCCTGATAGTGCAGCAGGGGAAAACTGTGGGGATACTGGGGGGAGGTGGGGGAGTGACCTCAATCCTCAACCTGCGCATACTGAGGATATGTCACTGACCCCAGCTCTGAGTCAGATAAGATATGGCTCGTGGTCTGTAGTTCGGAGACCCCGGGAATACATGCTCTGTATGGTGCGTATAATCCTCAGTATCTGCTCTTCATTTCATGTATCCATATTGCATTGTGATATATTATTCTTGCTCTGTATGCTGGGTGGAATGCTTTGTACCTCTTCTTCTTTGCAGGGATACTCCATATCACCAGCAGAAGAATTGTGTCACAGGCTGCCAGTCACAGATCAGCTCAATATCATACCTAATCCTTTACAATCTTCATTACAGGGGAGAGGCGTGTAATTGCTAAGCGTGTCTGTTGAAGCCACACCCAGAAGGCCATGTTACAGGCAGCGCACGAAGCAACTTTCAGGTTTAATGCCATATATATTTATTTCAGGTACTTATATATCGCCGTCAATTTTATGCAGCGCTTTACATATATATTGTACATTCCCATCAGTCCCCGCCCCCGAGGAGCGTACAATCTAAGGTCCCTAATTCAAATTCATACATACACATACTAGGGACAATTTAGACAGGAGCCAATTCACCCCTCAGCATGTCTTTGGAGTGTGGGAGGAAACCTGAGTACCTGGAGGAAACCCACGCAGGCACAGGGAGAGCATACAAACTCCAGGCAGATGGTGCCATGGTTGGGATTCGAACCAATGACCCGAGTACTGCCAGGCGGAATTGCTAACCATTTAGCCATTGTGCTGCTATATATATATATATATATATAGACACACGCAAATTTTGGAGTGTATTTATAGAAAATGTACATAGCTGTTGGTCCATTGAGACTGTATATAAATTCGTTCTGTGTAAATCGAATGTTCTCCAACTGTATTCTCTGCAATTCAAATGTGTTGGTGCAAAAAAAATAAATAAAAAATACTGCATTATAATCACCGGATGGCGCTGTGGAGCAGACTTACTTTCTGCAATAGTAAGCACCATCTAGTGGCAGAAATGTGGTATTTTCCTGATTCATGCACTTGAATCGCAGACAAAAGTGGAGAACATTCAGCGTTGCCTCCTCTGCGCACAACGAATTGACGCGTCGATGGCTGAACAGCTACGCCGCAGTGCATTACTTGCCATGCCCTAAGCTGTGTGCGTCGTTTGGAAAGAAGCAGTGAGACATTTTCTGAGCCGTGAGCAATCATCGATCATCAGTTCTGATTGGTTGTTCTGGGCTGCGGCAATCACAAATTAGCACTTCATGCTCCTCTCTCCCGGTCATGTCCAACTTCCAAAAAGTGACGCTTTGCCCCAGTGACCTTCGGCTTCACCTCCTGGTGGCATCCAGCCTGTATCCAGCCAGCTGGCGCACCCCCTGAGCACACGTACTGCGGTTCGTGTTCGTTTCACTGGAAGGCCATCCAACATTTCAGGACAGGAGCTCTTTATTGAATGAAACTGGAAGTAAAAGAGTGCGCCGCGCCCGATGCCTATTCCAGTTCATATATCAGAAGTAGGGTCAGAGCAAGAGGTGGGCGGGGGTGCTGTCCTGAGCACATGGGGTCTTCATGTGAGAAGGGGGGGTGCTGTCCTGAGCACAGGGGTCTTCATGTAAGAAGGGGGGGGCACATGGCATCCATCACATGCCAGAGAAACTGTCGCAAGTGTCAGTAGTTGTACTGCAGCCCACATCTCCGATCATCATCTCCCTTCTGCAGTCTTTACGGCTCTCTACACACTCCTGACCCCTGCACTCTGTACAATACACACTCCTGACCCCTGCACTCTGTACAATACACACTCCTGACCCCTGCACTCTGTACAATACACACTCCTGACCCCTGCACTCTGTACAATACACACTCCTGACCCCTGCACTCTGTATGTGACTTTACTCTTGACCCCTGCACTCTGTATGTGACTTTACTCTTGACCCCTGTACACTTTGCAATAAACACTCCTAACCCCTGTACTCTGTACAATACATACTCCTGAAACCCTTCACTCTGTACAAAACATACTCCTGACCTCTGCACGCTGTACAATACACATTCCTGACCCCTGTACTGCACTCTGTACAATACACATTCCCGACCCCTGTACTGCACTCTGTACAATACACATTCCTGACCCCAGCACTCTGTACTATAAACACTCCTGACCCCTGTACTCTGTACAATACATACTCCTGACCCTGCATGCTGTACAATTCATACTCCTGACCCCTTCACTCTGTACAATACATACTCCTGACCCCTGCACACTGTACAATAAACACTCCTGACCCCTGCACTGCACTCTGTACAATACACATTCCTGACCCCAGCACTCTGTACTATAAACACTCCTGACCCCTGCACTCTGTACAATACATACTCCTGACCCCTGCACTCTGTACAATAAACACTCCTAACCCATGTACTCTGTACAATACATACTCCTGACCCCTGCATGCTGTACAATTCATACTCCTGACCCCTGCACACTGTACAATAAACACTCCTGACCCCTGCACTGCACTCTGTACAATACACATTCCTGACCCCAGCACTCTGTACTATAAACACTCCTGACCCCTGCACTCTGTACAATGCATACTCCTGACCCCTGCACTCTGTACAATACATACTCCTGACCCCTGCACTCTGTACAATACATACTCCTGACCCCTGCATGCTGTACAATTCATACTCCTGACCCCTGCACACTGTACAATAAACACTCCTGACCCCTGCACTGCACTCTGTACAATACACATTCCTGACCCCAGCACTCTGTACTATAAACACTCCTGACCCCTGCACTCTGTACAATGCATACTCCTGACCCCTGCACTCTGTACAATACATACTCCTGACCCCTGCACTCTGTACAATACATACTCCTGACCCCTGCGCGCTGTACAATACACACTCCTTACCCCTGCACACTGTGCAATACACATTCCTGACCACTGTAATCTGTCCAATAAACACTATTGACCCTTGCACTCTGTACAATACATACTTCTGACCCCTGCATGCTGTACAATACACATTCCTGACCCCTGCACTCTGTGCAATAAACACTCCTAACCATTGCACTCTGTACAATACATATGTCTGACCTCTGCACTCTGTGCAATACACACTCCTGGCCCCTGCACTCTGGACAACAAACACTCCTGACCCCTGTGCTCTGTACAACAAACACTCCTGACCCCTGTGCTCTGTACAACAAACACTCCTGACCTCTGCACTCTATATGATCATTTTACTCCTGACCCCTGTATTCTGTACAATACATACTCCTGACCCCTGAACTCTGCTGTATGTTAAACACTCCTGGCTGCTGCACTCTGTATAATAAACATTCCTGACCCCTGCACTCTGTACAATACATACTCCTGACCACTGCAGTTAGTGCAATAAACACTCCTGACCCCTAAACTCTGTACAATACACACTCCTGACCCCTAAACTCTATATAATACACACTCCTGACCCCTAAACTCTGTACAATACACACTCCTGACCCCTAAACTCTGTACAATACACACTCCTGACCCCTAAACTCTATATAATACACACTCCTGACCTCTTCACTCTGTACAATAAACACTCCTGACCCCTGTAATCTGTACAATACATATGTCTGACCCCTGCACTCTGAATATTACACATTCCAGGGGCCCCTGCACACTGTACAATAAACACCCTGGACCCCTGCACTCTGTATGTTACTTTTACTCCTGACCCCTGCACTCTGTATGTTACACACTCCTGACCTCTGTACTTTATATGTTACATATTTCTGACCCCTGCACTCTGTACATGGGTATGATGACCAAGCAGTGAGCGCAGTGGGGAGGGAGGGGCTTCCGGTCACTGTACACTTCAGATTGGTGGCTGGCAGGTCAGCAGGCCAGGGCTTCATGTCTGCCCTGACATCTCCTGCTCCAACACTCTCCACCCACAACTGACATGAGCAACACACTGTGCATGCGCAGATAGCTCCCAGCTGCTAAGAAGCAAGCGATTGGCCGTGATTGGCACACGCCATGCCAGCCGAGGGGGCAGAGAATGGGCGGGGCGGTACTCCTATTCTATGTCATGCATTAGCAGTGGGGGAGGGGACTGGAAGAACCTGCCCTAGTACCAGGGGCGGACTGAAAACTCACGGGGCCCCCAGGCAATAGGGGATCATGGGGCCCCTGTGTCCTTGCCCAAACTCAAAAAAGCCTATGAAAAAAGTACCGGGGCATCTCATGGGGCCCCCTACTGACCCCGGGCCCTCGGGCAGTGCCCGAGTTTCCAAATGGTCAGTCTGCCCCTGCCTAGTACTGATCCGAAGTCCCGGTCCACCAGAACAAAGAATTTCTCAACCCGGGAAGTTTCTAGTCTCAGAATAATTCATCCATGTGACTCCGCGCTGATGTGACTCCGCCCACGTGCGTTGTGGATCTGCTCATTCATATTATGGGAAATCATTTTTTAGGACGAACAAATAAAAGGAAGTTCATTAGATTTGGTGTCACTTCGATTTGTCCGGGAAGCAGGCCTCAGATCTCCACCGTCCCCTCGTCGTTCGGTCACCGCCTTCCTCGAAAGTCTCCATTTCGCTGTCATGAGCTCATGGCGGCCCCACCCAGCGCTGACCTTCTACCCGGGAACATACGAGCGGAGCGCCTCTCCTGTCACTTCTCAGTATCTTGTCATCCCTCCGCAGAGTCGGCCCCGGGCTCTCTAAACGACTCAATTTCACACATGGAAGGCTTTGTCCATCTTCATCAACTTGTTTTGGAGATCAAAGGAGCTCATAAAGCAGAATATGACTGGAAGGAAACCGTTTATCGCCCAACCGGCTCTACACATCACCCGCTAAGGCAAGCATTCCATAACCCAGCAATGTCCTCCATGAACCTACCTGACTCCGAGACCCAGCAACGCCCTCCATGAACCTACCTGACTCCGAGACCCAGCAACGCCCTCCATGAACCTACCTGACTCCGAGACCCAGCAAACGTCCTCCATGAACCTACCTGACTCCGAGACCCAGCAATGTCCTCTATGAACCTACCTGACTCCGAGACCCAGCAACCTGACTCCTCCATGAACCTACCTACCTGACTCCGAGACCCAGCAATGTCCTCCATGAACCTACCTGAGACTCCGAGACCCAGCAACGCCCTCCATGAACCTACCTGACTCCTAGCAATGTCCTCCATGAACCTGACCTACCTGACTCCGAGCCAGCAATGTCCTCCATGAACCTACCTGACTCCAAGACCCAGCAACGCCCTCCATGAACCTACCTGACTCCGAGACCCAGCAATGTCCTCCCTACCTGAAGACCTACAATGTCCTCAATGAACCTAAGACTGCAAGACAGCAATGTCCTCCATGAACCTAGCAATGTGACTCCGACTCCAAGACCCAGCAATGTCCTCCATGACCTACCTAACTCCGAAGACCCAGCAATGCCTCCATGTACCTACCTGACTCAGAACCTAGCAATGCCTTCCATGAACCTACTGACTCCGAGACCCAGCAATGTCCTCCATGTACCTATGAACCTACCAATGACTACCTGAATCTGAGACCCAGCAATGTCCTCCATGTACCTACCTGACTGCCAGACCTAGCAAATGTCCTAGCCATGTCCCCCATGTACCTACCTGACTCCAAGACCTAGCAATGTCCTCCATGTACCTACCTGACTCCAAGAACCAGCAATGTCCTCATGAACCTACCTGAATCTGCAGAACCTAGCAATGTCCTCCATGAACCTACCTGACTCTGAGACCAGCAATGTCCTCCATGAACCTACCTGAATCCAAGACCAGCAATGCCTCCGTGTACCTCCATGAAGAACCAGCAATGTCCTGACCTGAATCTGAGAACCAGCAATGTCCTCCAAACCTGAATCCAAGAAATGTCCTCCATGTACCTACCTGACTCAGAAACCCAGCAATGTCCTTCCATGAACCTACTGACTCCGAGACCCAGCAATGTCCTCCATGTACCTACCAGGTTCCTAAGACCAGCAATGTGCTCCATGTACCTACCTGACTTATAGACCCAGCAATGTCCTTCCATTTACCTACCTGACTCTGAGACCCAGCAATGTCTTTCATGTACCTACCTAAATCCGAGAACCAGCAATGTCCTCCTTGTACCTACCTGACTCCAAGACCCAGCAATGTCCTCCATGTACCTACCTGACTCCGAGACCCAGCAATGTCCTCCATGTACCTACCTGACTCCGAGACCCAGCAATGTCCTCCATGTACCTACCTGACTCCGAGTCCCAGCAATGTCCTCCATGTACCTACCTGACTCCGAGACCCAACAATGTCCTCCTTGTACCTACCTGACTCCGAGACCCAGCAATGTCCTCCATGTACCTACCTGACTCCGAGACCCAGCAATGTCCTCCATGTATCTACCTGACTCCGAGTCCCAGCAATGTCCTCCATGTACCTACCTGACTCCGAGACCCAACAATGTCCTCCTTGTACCTACCTGACTCCGAGACCCAACAATGTCCTCCTTGTACCTACCTGACTCTGAGACCCAACAATGTCCTCCATGTACCTACCTGACTCTTTGCATGTCTGTTTTGGAATATAGAGCAGCCTGCTGGCAGCTTTGTATTTGTTGCCTTTTATTTCCTGGTGATCCAGCCAGTAAGTCTGTTATTTTTTTACAGCCCAGCCCAGGACAGGAGGGAGACCCAGGCATTCTGGTGAACCGGATGTTGGCTGCGAGGGCGATCGGCATGGTGGGTGGGGCAATTACTGGAACCGATCCCTTGTACGGATCTCTGCAGCAGCTGAAAGGCAGTGGGAGGGAGAGGAGAAGAATCCAATTATGGGTGAGGGGGGGGGGGTGTGGTAATTACTGGAACCGATCCCCTGTATGGCTCTCTCTGCAGCAGCTGAAAGGCAGTGGGAGGGAGAGGAAAAGAAGCCGGCTTTCACCTGCTGCAGGGGGAGCCATACAGGGGATCAGTTCCAGTAATTACCACCCCCCCCCTGCACCTATAATTGGCTTCTTCTCCTTTCCCTCCCGCTGGATTTCAGCTGCTGCAGGGGGAGCCATACAGGGGATCTGTTCCAGTAATCACCCCCCCCTCCACCATGCCGATCGCCTTCCCAGCCCACATCCGATTCACCAGAATGCTTGGGCCCCCCCTCTTGTCCTGGGCCCCGTACAGGAGGACTGGTGGTCCCCCCTTATCTACAAACCTGCCCATAAATCCTAAACAGCCAATGCCCAGCTTGCAATCCAACCTCCCACCGGAATCCTTCGCTCCTCCAACTCCTCGCCTTGATGCACGACGAGCGAAAGCGATCTACGCAGGAGGAAACGTAATCTCTCCTCATCGCTCCGACGGCGTCCGATGCCCTCCTAGGCCGCCTGCGCTAGACGCCAAGTAGAGTGAGTTGGCAGCTTCGGCTCCGACGTCAGCTGACAGCTCCGGCTCCGCTGCCAAGATCTGTGATTGGTAGTTGTGACATATTAATCTGCGAAGAGTGATTCTGACAGACGACAAGTCTGTGTGCGTTGAATCCCGGCCCTCCCCCTCCCACTGACACGCTACCAGCAGATCCGACTCGCCCATATGTTATTTTTATGACACCTAAGTAACTGTAAAAGTCGTTCCTGTAATGCAACACGATCGACATCCGAGATTGGGAATAATTACAGGAAAAATATCTGTACGTGGGAGGAACCAAATCTGCGCGTTCGACTTGTCATTGACGTGCCTTCCACTTCTGCCTCATTGGGCTCGGTTCACATCGACTTCTTTTTGTGCGTTTGCAGATCTAGAGAAACGCATTACAATCCATTCAACCTCTTTTCCTACAGGGTCCCGTTCACATCTGTGCGTGGCGGGGACGTTTTGTTTTTTTTTTGCACTCAGCACGCTGCATTTTTGAGTCCATGGATTTCAATGGAATTGCATCAAAAACACACGAGCCCGGGTTCAATGCCGGGACAAGGTCATATAGCGCCCCCTTCCTTCCTGTTCATGATGTGCACGTTTCGGGAATCCTACGCCCAGCAGTCACTCGCTTGTCAAAATCGCTGCCGCTGTCACTACTGCTGTCAGCCTTGTACCAGAAGGAAGGTGCCCCCCATCCCTATAGTAAACCATTGCACCCGGGGCAGCTTCCCCTCCCGCCCCCCCTTGTCCCGGCCCTGGGCAGCTGCCCTTCCCGCCCCCCCTTTTCCCGGCCCTGGGCAGCTGCCCTCCCGCCCATCCCATGTCCCGGCAGTGGGCAGCTTCCCCTCCCGCCCACCCCTTGTCCCCGGCCCTGGGCAGCTTCCCCTCCCACCCACACCTTGTCCTGGCCCTGGGCAGCTTCCCCTCCCGCCCACAACTTTTCCCGGCCCTGGGAAGCTGCCCTTCCCGCCCCCCCTTGTCACGGCCCTGGGTAGCTTCCCCTCCCGCCCACCCCTTGTCCCCGGTTCTGGGCAGCTGCCCCTCCCGCCCACCCCTTGTCCCGGCCCTGGGCAGATGTCCCTCCCGCCCACCCCTTGTCCCCGGCCCTTGGCAGCTGCCCTTCCCGCCCCCCCTTTTCCCGGCCCTGGGCAGCTGCGCCTCCCGCCCACCCTTGTCCCCGGTTCTGGGCAGCTGCCCCTCCCGCCCACCCCTTGTCCCGGCCCTGGGCAGATGCCCCTCTCGCCCACCCTTGTCCCCGGTTCTGGGCAGCTGCCCCTCCCCGCCCACCCCTTGTCCCGGCCCTTGGCAGCTGCCCTTCCCCCGCCCAACCCTTGTCCCAGCCCTGGGCAGCTTCCCCTCCCGCCCACCCCTTGTCCCGGCCCTTGGCAGCTGCCCTTCCCGCCCAACCCTTGTCCCAGGCCCTGGGCAGCTTCCCTCCCACCCACCCCTTGTCCCGGCCCTGGGCAGATGCCCCCCTCCCCCTGTCCACCCCCACCCCTTGTCCCGGCCCTTGGCAGCTGCCCTTCCCGCCCAACCCTTGTCCCAGCCCTGGGCAGCTGCCCCTCCCTCCCATCCCATGTCCCGGCAGTGGGCAGCTTCCCCTCCCGCCCACCCCTTGTCCAGGCCCTGGGCAGCTTCCCCTCCCACCCACACCTTGTCCTGGCCCTGGGCAGCTTCCCCTCCCGCCCACAACTTGTCCCGGCCCTGGGAAGCTGCCCCTACCGCCCCCCCTTGTCACGGCCCTGGGTAGCTTCCCCTCTTGCCCACCCCTTTTCCCGGCCCTGGGCAGCTTCCCCTCTCGCCCACCCCTTGTCCCGGCCCTGGGCACCCAGTTAACCCTTTGACTGCCCCTAGACGTTAATCCCTTCCCAGCCAGTGTCATCAGTACAGTGACAGTGTATAGTCTCAGCACTGATCACTGTATTAGAATCACTGGAGGTGTCAGTGTCAGTTAGTGTCAGATTGCCCGACACACTATCACAATCTCATGGTGCAAAGATGTCAGTTTTTCTGCACGGGTACAAATGAAAATCTGCCCGCCCCTTGTCCCGGGCCCTGCCTGAGATCACACATACGCGAATACCGATGCCCTTTGAACTGCCACATGCCTGAGAAAGGGGTCCTGTGAGGATCAAAAATGTTGCTGATGCTGTAATTATGTGATCATTTATTAGATTGCAAGCTCTGAGGCCCAGGGCCCTCCATATTATAACACACTTAGATTGTAAGCTCTGAGGCCCAGGACCCTCCGTATTATAACACACTTAGATTGTAAGCTCTGAGGCCCAGGACCCTCCGTATTATAACACACTTAGATTGTAAGCTCTGAGGCCCAGGGCCCTCTATATTATAACACACTTAGATTGTAAGCTCTGAGGACCCTCCGTATTATAACCAGGGCCCTCTATATTATAACACACTTAGATTGTAAGCTCTGAGGACCAGGGGGCCCTCTATATTATAACACACTTAGATTGTAAGCTCTGAGGCCCTCCGTATTATAACAGGGCCCTCTATATTATAACACACACTTAGATTGTAAGCTCTGAGGACCTCTGGGCCCTCTATATTATAACACACTTAGATTGTAAGCTCTGAGGACCAGGGCCCTCTATATTATAACACACTTAGATTGTAAGCTCCGAGGACCAGGAAATGATTGCTTTTACAGCCTTTGTGGGTGACACTATACTGCTTGGGTACCATGGTGACACTGTACTGCTAGGGTGACAGTATGTAAAAAAAAAAGCCCATAAATAATAATATAAAAAAAATAAATTAAAATGTAAAAAAAAATTTTGAAAAATTATAATTTTTGGTTATAAACTAATTTGGGTTATTTATTTTTTTTTACTAAAAAGATAACTGAATACATTGTGGCCAAGATTTATGAAGAAAGATTATTTATTTGCAAAATTTATAAGAAAAACACTTTTTTTAAAAAAATGTTGGACTTTTTCATTTATATAGCAAAAAAAAAAAAAAAATACCAGCGGTGAATAAATACCACCAAAATTTTTATCTGTCTCAAAAAAAATACATCCATTACAATTCTGAAGTTTGTAAAATGTTGGCAATAATTTATTTTATTTTTTTATGGCAATTATTTATTCTATTTTATTTTTCTGGTTCTGAATCTTTTATTACAATTCTGAAGTTTGTAAAACTTTACGGAATATATTTATTTTAATTTTTTTTACAGCGATTATTTATTCTATTTTATTTTTCTGGTTCTGAATCTTTTATTACAATTCTGAAGTTTGTAAAACTTTATGAAAATTATTTATTTAAATTTTTTTACAGGCGATTATTTATTCTATTTTATTTTATTTTTCTGGTTCTGAATCTTTTATTACAATTCTGAAGTTTGTAAAACTTTATGAAAAATTATTTATTTTAATTTTTTTACGGCGATTATTTATTCTATTTTATTTTATTTTTCTGGTTCTGAATCTTTTATTACAATTCTGAAGTTTGTAAAAAAAATTTGGCAATTATTTCATTTTTTTTATGTTGATTATTTATTCTATTTTATTTATTTTTTGGTTCTGAACCTTTTATTACAGTTCTGAAGTTGAAAAATGTTATGGCAATTATTTTTTTATTTTTTGGTTCTGAATCTTTTATCGTGCGCAGTTTTGAAATCTGTAGAGTCAGCGGATATGCAGATGTATGGAAACTCGCAAGAAAACTCTGTCATCCTTTCCTCCAGATAGAACTTATATAACTTTCTGTATGTTACATTTACTAGAAGAAATCATAACGACGGGCCTGAAACCTGACAGATTTATCGGGAATATTACAAAATATCCTCATGAAATGTATGGACTTCATGAAAGGAATTTGCACTTTAAATATAGAAGAGCCGTGTGAAGTCTGACCTTCTGATGTAAACTTATTATTATGTATTGTCCATATTGGTCTCCCAACCCCTTTAACGTGGAGGAACCCTGAGAAACATTAACAGCTCATAGTACATTGGTTGTGATGGGAAGAATGTCCCTTACATTGGGGGTCAGTGGGGAGAGAATGTCCCTTACATTGGGGGTCAGTGGGAAGAATGTCCCTTACATTGGTGATCAGTGGGAAGAATGTCCCTTACATTGGGGGTCAGTGGGGAGAATGTCCCTTACATTGGTGATCAGTGGGAAGAATGTCCCTTACATTGGGCGGTCAGTGGGAAGAATGTCCCTTTACATTGGGGGTCAGTGGGGAAGAATGTCCCTTACATTGGAGGTCAGTGGGAAGAATGTCCCTTACATTGGCGGTCAGTGGGAAGAATGTCCCTTACATTGGGGGTCAGTGGGAAGAATGCCCTTACATTGGTGGTCAGTGGGAAGAATGTCCCTTACATTGGAGGTCAGTGGGAAGAATGTCCCTTACATTGGGGGGCCAGTGGGAAGAATGTCCCTTACATTGGGGGGTCAGTGGGAAGAATGTCCCTTACATTGGGGGGGCCAGTGGGAAGAATGTCCCTTACATTGGTGGTCAGTGGGAAGAATGTCCCTTACATTGGGGGTCAGTGGGAAGAATGTCCCTTACATTGGAGGTCAGTGGGAAGAATGTCCCTTACATTGGGGGTCAGTGGGAAGAATGTCCCTTACATTGGTGATCAGTGGGAAGAATGTCCCTTACATTGGAGGTCAGTGGGAAGAATGTCCCTTACATTGGGGGTCAGTGGGAAGAATGTCCCTTACATTGGGGGTCAGTGGGAAGAATGTCCCTTACATTGGGGGTCAGTGGGAAGAATGTCCCTTACATTGGGGGTCAGTGGGAAGAATGTCCCTTACATTGGTGATCAGTGGGAAGAATGTCCCTTACATTGGGGGTCAGTGGGAAGAATGTCCCTTACATTGGTGGTCAGTGGAATGTCCCTTACATTGGAGGTCAGTGGGAAGAATGTCCCTTACATTGGGGGTCAGTGGGAAGAATGTCCCTTACATTGGTGGTCAGTGGGAAGAATGTCCCTTACATTGGGGGTCAGTGGGAAGAATGTCCCTTACATTGGGGGTCAGTGGGAAGAATGTTCCTTACATTGGGGGTCAGTGGGGAAGAATGTCCCTTACATTGGTAATCAGTGGGAAGAATGTCCCTTACATTGGTGATCAGTGGGAAGAATGTCCCTTACATTGGGGGTCAGTGGGAAGAATGTCCCTTACATTGGGGGTCAGTGGGAAGAATGTCCCTTACATTGGTGATCAGTGGGAAGAATGTCCCTTACATTGGTGATCAGTGGGAAGAATGTCCCTTACATTGGTGATCAGTGGGAAGAATGTCCCTTACATTGGGCTGGTCAGTGGGAAGAATGTCCCTTACATTGGGGGTCAGTGGGAAGAATGTCCCTTACATTGGGGGTCAGTGGGAAGAATGTCCCTTACATTGGTGATCAGTGGGAAGAATGTCCCTTACATTGGGCGTCAGTGGGAAGAATGTCCCTTACATTGGGGGTCAGTGGGAAGAATGTCCCTTACATTGGGGTCAGTGGGGAGAATGTCCCTTACATTGGTGGTCAGTGGGGAAGAATGTCCCTTACATTGGGGGTCAGTGGGAAGATTGTCCCTTACATTGGGGTCAGTGGGGAGAATGTCCCTTACATTGGTGATCAGTGGGAAGAATGTTCCCTTACATTGGGGGTCAGTGGGAAGAATGTCCCTTACATTGGTGATCAGTGGGAAGAATGTCCCTTACATTGGTGATCAGTGGGAAGAATGTCCCTTACATTGGGGGTCAGTGGGAGAATGTCCCTTACATTGGGGGTCAGTGGGAAGAATGTCCCTTACATTGGTGATCAGTGGGAAGAATGTCCCTTACATTGGTGATCAGTGGGAAGAATGTCCCTTACATTGGTGGTCAGTGGGAAGAATGTCCCTTACATTGGGGGTCAGTGGGAAGAATGTCCCTTACATTGGTGGTCAGTGGGAAGAATGCCCCTTACATTGGTGGTCAGTGGGAAGAATGTCCCTTACATTGGAGGTCAGTGGGAAGAATGTCCCTTACATTGGGGGGGCAGTGGGAAGAATGTCCCTTACATTGGGGGTCAGTGGGAAGAATGTCCCTTACATTGGGGGGGCAGTGGGAAGAATGTCCCTTACATTGGTGGTCAGTGGGAAGAATGTCCCTTACATTGGGGGTCAGTGGGAAGAATGTCCCTTACATTGGAGGTCAGTGGGAAGAATGTCCCTTACATTGGGGGTCAGTGGGAAGAATGTCCCTTACATTGGTGATCAGTGGGAAGAATGTCCCTTACATTGGGGGTCAGTGGGAAGAATGTCCCTTACATTGGGGGTCAGTGGGAATGTCCCTTACATTGGAGGTCAGTGGGAAGAATGTCCCTTACATTGGTGGTCAGTGGGAAGAATGTCCCTTACATTGGTGGTCAGGGGAAGAATGTCCCTTACATTGGGGGTCAGTGGGAAGAATGTCCCTTACATTGGGGGTCAGTGGGAAGAATGTCCCTTACATTGGTGGTCAGTGGGAAGAATGTCCCTTACATTGGTGGTCAGTGGGAAGACATGAAGAATGTCCCTTACATTGGTGGTCAGTGGGAAGAATGTCCCTTACATTGGTGGTCAGTGGAAAGAATGTCCCTTACATTGGTGGTCAGTGGAAAGAATGTCCCTTACATTGGTGGTCAGTGGGGAAGAATGTCCCTTACATTGGAGGTCAGTGGGAAGAATGTCCCTTACATTGGAGGTCAGTGGGAAGAATGTCCCTTACATTGGAGGTCAGTGGGAAGAATGTCCCTTACATTGGGGGTCAGTGGGAAGAATGTCCCTTACATTGGGGGTCAGTGGGAAGAATGTCCCTTACATTGGTGGTCAGTGGGAAGAATGTCCCTTACATTGTTGATCAGTGGGAAGAATGTCCCTTACATTGGGGGTCAGTGGGAAGAATGTCCCTTACATTGGTGATCAGTGGGAAGAATGTCCCTTACATTGGTGGTCAGTGGGAAGAATGTCCCTTACATTGGTGGTCAGTGGGAAGAATGTTCCTTACATTGGGGGTCAGTGGGAAAAGGAAATGTCCCTTACATTGGGGGGGCAGTGGGAAGAATGTCCCTTACATTGGGGGTCAGTGGGAAGAATGTCCCTTACATTGGGGGTCAGTGGGAAGAATGTCCCTTACATTGGGGGTCAGTGGGAAGAATGTCCCTTACATTGGGGGTCAGTGGGAAGAATTCCCCCCTTACAGATAGCTAAAAAAGATGAATGGGAATTTATCTGATTGGCAGACATTTTCCAATTGTTGATGGAACCCCGAGGAACCTCCAGGCTTTCAGGGACCCCGGCTGTAATGTTTTTGCTCAGATCCCTTGCTCTTCATTCAGGTGATGTTTGCAATATATAAAATACTCTCATAGAACACTTGCACTTCATTAAAGGAATTTTCACCTTAAATATAGACAATCCGCGCTGACGCTGACCTGACCTCTGACCTCCTGACCGATGAACTCGTCTGTAAAATTTTATTTATTTGTATCATCTAAATGATTTTAGTTCAGACCCCTCGCCCTTCAATGCAGGCAATGGGGGAGATGTACTATGACTGGTCCACTCAGAATTTGCTGCGGCCAATCAGCTTCTAGCTTGAGCTTGGCCAGTGAAGCTTTGGCAATAAAACCTGGAAGCCGATTGGTTTCTACGCCGAGCTGCACCAGATTCTGCAACCTCCAGCTTAAGTAAATAACCCCCAATGTTGGCGATGTAAAAGAACTCCAAATATCCGTATAAAATGCACTTCAGGAAATGAATTCGCACCTCAAATATAGAAAATCCAAGCGAACTCCAAGCTTATGAATTATAAAAAACGCATCTATAAAATGATAGTCATTGGTATCTGGTATATTTTTTTTTTGCTCGGATCTCTTGCTCCTCAGCGCAGAGCAACATTTGCAATATATAATAAACCCATCAAAAAATGTACGTTATTAAATGGATTTGCACTTTAAATATAGAAAAGCCAAGTTATAGATGACCTTCTGAATTATAAACTCATCTGTAAAAAAATCTATTTTCTGAAATGTTTTGTTCAGATCCCTTGCTCTTCAGTGCTGGCAATGTTTGATAAATATATATATTTTTTAGATTAAAAAAAAAACTCATCTAAAACTTCATTAAAAGAATTTGCATTTTAAAGAGAGAAAAGCCAAGTTAACTCTGACCTTATGAATTAGAAACTCGTCTATAAAATGCTGGTGATTTGCATTTTCTACAACTTTTGTTCGGTTCCCTTGCTCCTCAGTGCAGGCAATAGTCGCAACATAAAATAACTCATCAAAATATAAAATGCATGCGCTTCGTTAAATAAATTTGCACTTTATATATAGAAAAGCCATGACCTTCTGAATTATAAAATGTGATTTTTTTTAAAATATATGTTGTCTAACTTTTTTTTTGCTCAGATCCCTTGCTCCTCAGTGCAGGCAATATTCGCAACATAAAATAACTCGTCAACATACAAAATGCGCTAAATAAATTTGCACTTTATATATAGAAAAGTCATGACCTTCTGAATCATAACAAGTAATAGAGATCTATATATATATATATATATATATATATATATATATATATATATATATATATATATAGTCTTTTTTTTGCTCAGATCCCTTGCTCCTCCCCTTTGCAATCAGGGGCGGACTGACAACTCATGGGGCCCCAGGGCAATAGGGGATAATGGGGCCCCTGTGTCCTTGCCCAAACTCAAAAAAAGCCTATGAAAAAAAATACCAGGAGCATCTCATGGGGTCCCCTACTGACCCCGGGCCCTCGGGCAGTGCCAGAGTTTCCAAATGGTCAGTCCGCCCCTGTTGGCAATATATAATAACCCCATCAAAATATCCCCATAAAATGCATGCACTTTATTAAATGAATTTGCACTTTAAATATAGAAAAGCTATGTTAACTCTGACCTTCTGAATTATAAAATGTAATTTTTTTTTTTATATATTGTCTAAATTTTTGGCTCAGATCCCTTGCTCCTCAGTGCAGGCAATATTTGCAACATAAAATAACTTGTCAAAATATAAAATGTACTAAATAAATTTGCACTTTAAATATAGAAAAGCCATGACCTTCTGAATTATAAAATGTGATTATATATCTATATCTATATATCTATATCTATATCCTAACTTTTTTTTTTGCAAATCAGGGGCGGACTTCAGATCCCTTGCTCCTCAGTGCAGGCAATATATAATAACCCAATCCAAATATCCCCATAAAATGCATGCGCTTTATTAAATGAATTTGCACTTTAAATATAGAAAAGCTATGTTAACTCTGACCTTCTGAATTATAAAAATTTAATTTTTTAAAATATATATTGTCTTAATTGTTTTGCCCAGATCCCTTGCTCCTCAGTGCAGGCAATATTTTGTCTTTATTAAAATATCCCCATAAAATGCATTTACTTTGAATTTGCACTTTAAATGTAGAAAAGCCATGTTAACTCTGACCTTCGGAATTATAAAATGCGATTTTTAATATGTATTGTCTAAATTTTGTTTGCTCAGATCCCTTGCTCTTCAGTGCAGGCAATATTTGCAATATAAAATAACCCCATCAAAATATCCCCATAAAATGCACGTACTTTGAATCTGCACTTTAAATATAGAAAATCCATGTTAACTCTGACCTTCGGAATTATAAAATTCCATTAATGTGGATTCTCAATTTTTTTTTTTTTTTGTTTCGGATCCCTTTGCTCCTCAGTGCAGGCGAAGCTTGCAATACCACTGACAACCAGCAGATGGTAGCAGATCTCTAAATCTCCAACCACTGCACAGCATTTGATTATTAAAATCATAAACAATCTTTAAATATATTTTTTTTAATAACAAAAACAATGTTTATTGTAATCAATACATTCCAGATATTTGACTTGTGAATGCTTTGGCATTGAGTTCTCTTTCAGTGTAATCAGCAAACCCATGTGAAAAAAAAAATATCTTTTAGTACAGGGGAATTCAAAAAAAACAAAAAAACGGATGAAGATTTAAAAAAAAAAAAAACAAAACAAAAAAAAACAAAGTGAATATTTAAGTCTTCATTTATTAAACAAAATAAGTTTTTTTGCCAATTTTGGATAGCCACCAACGCATTTGTCTCCTCTCCTTTTTTCTCTCTCTCCTCCTCCTCCTCCCACCCGCTCCCCTTCATGCCGAGAACACATTACAAAAAAATACACTTCTTTAGAGCTGTACAAAAATTAAGAGGAGGCCGTTTTTTTTTTATTTTTTTTTTTTTTTTAGTTAACCTCCTAAAGAGGGAAAGAAAAAGGATTTGAATAAGCGATGAACATCATGCAAAACTGCACAAAGAATAAGAAAAAAAAAAAAAAAGCAAACAGAAAAAAAAAAAGGAAAAAAAAACAAACAGGATAAAATAAAAAAAAAAAAAAAAAAAAAAAAAAAAAAGAGACCAAATGGAAGACAAACTGATAATGCAAAAGAATTGTTTTTTTTTTTGTTTGCATACCATTGGATTTTTTTTTGTTGTAAATAATGCACTTAATATTCCCAGCTTGAAGCTAACATACAGTAAATAAATATACAGTCTATGATGAGTCGGGGAATTCGATATATTTACTGGTATCCTAGCGCTGAAGCTGACGTTAACCTCTGTCCGTAGAGAGCGTACGGCGAATAGTAAGATCCTGCCGGTAAGGAGGGCACCGGGAGACCACTGGGCGTTAGGGGGCTTTTTCCATACGGGTGGTACCTGTTAAGTCCCAAGGTGTGTGGACTCCTTAAGGACAGGGACCCTGGCAGTGTGTTAGGACTTCCAGGCCCTGTTGGAGGGAGATGGAGGTGGCAGGAAGCAGCAGACCCCAAACCAGATGTAGGGTAACCAGCCAAAAGTTTGTCGGCCCCGGGCAAGGCCGTGTGAGTCCGCAAGTGGGCAAGGAGTTCCTCTGACGTGGAAAATCTTTTGTCGCAAGGTCCGCTGGCAGACACCCAGTTGCATATGTGAGGGACCGGGTCGTTGGGGAGCATAAAGCCGTAGGTGTACAGAGGATGGCCAGGCAAGGACGGGGTGACGCTGGAAGACAACGTGGTGTGCACCGAATGAAGAGGGTGGCTGGGGTAGACCAGAGGGTATCCAGACTTCAGGGCGGATGGGTCATGCACACAGGTGGAGCAGCTGCTAGTACCGAGGTGCGAGGCATTGTGGTAGCTCAGACAATAGGGGTCCCTGCATAATCCTTGCATGAAAGACGGAGGAGAGGCTCCGGTCAGAGGACTGGAGCTGGGTGGTTTCCCCGGCAAACCTAAAGTCCCAGGTAGCTGATTACCAACCAGGCTTGTTTTGGTGTGATCCAACCCGGGGACAAACTGTGAAGGGTACCCGGCATAGGCCCCCACTATGGATCCATGATATCCAATGCCAGACGGTGGAAGAGGAAAGACTGAGTGTCCCGGTTTGTAAGGAGACACCGGGGCCACGTGGCCAGGTCCCAGCGATTGCGGCTCGGATTTGCCGCTGGGGGTAATGTCCCCGCTTTGGCTGGACTCGGCGCTGGAGTTGCTGGTGCTGGCTCTGGTAAGGGTGGGGTTGGCTTGAGAAACCTCAGCACTAACTTTGATGGCCTCGGGCTCTTTTTTCTCTTGCCCGTCCACACTTTTAGAATCACAGAGCTGCCCGGGGGAGCTCACCCTGGAGGACGGAGACGCCGCGTGCGGAGGAAAGGCTTGGCAAGAACCGCTAGGCACCCGAAATCCTGCCTTGTCCGCGGCGCCACCATTCGAAGATCCGCTTTCCTTTCTCGGCTCTCCTCCCTTGGAATACGGCTTGAAGCTCGACTTGTCCTCCAGAGGAGACTCTCCCAGTTTCAGCGAAGAGCTGCTGCGGCTGCTTTCCTTTTCGCTGTGGCTGCTGGACGTCACCGAGTTCAGCTTCGACGAAGGAGGGGGGTCAGGCTTTCCGATCTGAGAGCAGGTCTGAGCCAGCAGGGCCAACGGGCTCTTCTTGGCGTCCAACTAGAGGGAAGGAGAAGAACACAGAGCCATCGGTGAGAGTGGAGCACACAATGCTGGAGACTTCAAAGGCAAACAGCCAATTCACTTTACAGGGGAAATTTCCCCACAGCTGCTGTAACCTCGTGATTGGTCTAATAATCTGTATATAGAGCATACATATATAATACTCTAGTACTCTGTATACAGAACATCAACATATAATACTCTAGTACTCTGTATACAGAACATCAATATATAATACTCTAGTACTCTGTATACAGAACATCAATATATAATACTCTAGTACTCTGTATACAGAACATCAATATATAATACTCTAGTAATCTGTATACAGAACATCAATATATAATACTCTACTAGTACTCTGTATACAGATCAATATATAATACTCTATGTACTCTGTATACAGAACATCAATATTATATACTCTAGTACTAGAGTCTGTATACAGAACATCAATATATAATACTCTAGTACTCTGTATACAGATCAATATATAATACTCTAGTACTCTGTATACAGATCAATATATATACTCTAGTACTCTGTATACAGAACATCAACATATAATACTCTACTAATACTGTATACAGAACATCAACATATAATACTCTAGTACTCTGTATATATAATACTCTACTAATCTGTATATAGAACATCAATATATAATACTCTACTAGAGTATATATATTACTAGAGTACTAGAGTATTATATATTATAGATGTTCTATATACAGAGTACTAGAGTATTATATATACAGAGTTCTACTAGAGTATTGTATATTGATGTTCTATATACAGAGTACTAGAATATTATATATAATACTCTAGTACTTAGTATTAGAGTATTATATATACAGAGTACTAATCTGTATATAGAACATCAATATATAATACTCTAGTACTCTGTATATATAATACTCTACTAATCTGTATATATAATATTGATAAATATAATACTCTAGTACTCTGTATACATATATATAATACTCTAGTACTCTGTATATATAATACTCTAGTACTCTGTATACTCTTTGGATCCCAAGCGAAGTGGATGGATCGGGTTAAAACCAATTTCCCACAAGGCGCGCTTCCTTTCTAGTTTCCCAGCCGCCTTTCGCTACTTCCATGAAGTGCAAGCTCTTCGGCATATTCCACGTAATCATTTACCAAATGATAAATTGTTAACCAATAACTTAGAAAAACAAAAAAAAAAAACATTGATATTATATATCCCACATACGCCAAAAAAAAAATAAATAATAAATAAATAAGGCGAACATAGCCGCCCAACAAAGAACTACCAACGCAAAGCAGACGAGGCGATCGGACGATGCGATCCTTTTCACCGTTCGCAGAGTTAAATTGAGATTTCGGGTGACAAAAATCGAAGCCTCGGAGCCTGAGAACCTATAAAGCGCATTGATTGAGCCGCTCCTCTATTTTTTTTTCCCCTTCGCTGCTATTCAACACAGCCCGGCTATTATTTTCAGGCTATAAATCTCCTGAAACTTTATCATTAGGGACTGCCATGGGATGATTAATGACAGGGGCTCTGAACTGACTAGGAGGGAGGAGGAGGGGAGGAGGGGGGGGGGGGGGTTGGTATGAGGGAGAGGAGGCGGAGGTGGGGGGGGGGGGGGGGGGGGGGGGGAGAGAAAAAGGAACCCGGATCAAGATCAAAAAAATATAATTTAATTAGAAAGTATTGGAAAATATTGCAAGAAAAAAAACTTGGGAGAGCCCAGGATCCAGTCACTGAGCTTCTGCACTAATAAATGGCAGTTGAGTCCAAAACTCAAAAGATCAGAAAATGACAGTCACATGACTGGAGGAGAGAGAATAAGGAGACTTCCCGTGTTACATACAAAGGAAACCCGACGGTATATGTGTGCGATCTGCTACAGGAAATACACTTCATACAATACGCTTTGTATTCCTTCTATATCGTACACTTTGTATCCTATTCTATATTCTATACTTTGTATCCTTTCTATATTCTATACTTTCTATATTCTATACTTGCTATTTTCTACACTTTGTATTTTCTATTCTATATTCTACACTTTGTATCCTATTCTATATTCTCGACTTTGTATCCTTTCTATTATATTCTATACTTTGTATCCTTTCTATATTCTATACTTTGTATCCTTTCTATATTCTATACTTTGTATCCTATTCTATATTCTACACTTGGTATCCTATTCTATATTCTCGACTTTGTATCCTTTCTATATTCTATACTTTGTAACTTCCTTTCTATATTTCTATCCTATTCTATATTCTACACTTTCTATCCTATTCTATATTTACACTTTTATCCTATTATTATATTTCTACACTTTCTATCCTATTCTATATTTACACTTTGTATTATTCTATATTTTACACTTTCTATATTCTATACTTTGTATCCTTTCTATATTCTATACTTTGTATCCTATTCTATATTCTACACTTGGTATCCTATTCTATATTCTCGACTTTGTATCCTTTCTATATTCTATACTTTGTATCCTTTCTATATTTTATCCTATTCTATATTCTACACTTTCTATCCTATTCTATATTCTACACTTTCTATCCTATTCTATATTCTACACTTTCTATCCTATTCTATATTCTACACTTTGTATCCTATTCTATATTCTACACTTTCTATATTTCTACACTTTGTATCTTTTCTATACAATAAACTTTGTATCCTCGACTATCGAGTATCCTTTGGGTCTCAGCCAGTAGATCGGCAGCGATCCGTGTAGAGGAGGATCGGATTGCTCAGCAGCCTCTCCTAGGCAATGGCAGTAAATCGCACAATACATCGCATACGATCAGAGGTCAGCCCACAAGTCGCACACAAAGCAGGAAATAAAAATCGCAGATTGCTCTCCTCGCTACAGAGGACTGGGTGTGGATCCCGGAGATTTCTGATCCCCCCCAACCTGCCCCCCCAACACACAGCAGATCCTGGTCGGTTGCAATCCATCATCCACAGGGCGATGCCAGGCAGCCCTCCTTACCTCTATATGGGACTGACAGGCGTGGAGGAGAGCGGCTGCAGGTACTCCGGGTGCAGCAAGTGTCCAGTGTGTGCAGTCAGCATTTTCAGCACCCTGATGAATCAGTCGGTTGGCCTGGCGCAGGGGGTGGCTGGGCGCTAGGCTGGGCAGCGGAGGAGTCGGGCAGGTCGGTGAGTCGGTGCTAGATCCGAGGGGAGAACAGATCATTTGGAGGAGGGATGGCCAGGGTGGAGGAGAGGATCCCCTTGTGCTCCCTTCCCTCCAGCTGGCTGCAAGGCTCTAAACCCAACCCTGGGCTTTTTACACTGCACTTCAAAGGCTTGGGCAGGGGCGGCCAATCACAGCCCAGGGGGGCGGGGCCTGGAGGGGGACAGGATGGGGGTTAACCCCGTGAGTGCTGCGGGGGGGAGTGCGGTGCTGGGAACGCACCGAGGATGGTGTATATATATATATACTGGACGATGTATACGGATCGCAACCCATCCCATGTCCCCGCACTGCGACGTGTCACATCATATCCCCGACATCCTAGGAGTCGGAACTGTCTCATATTATTATTATTATTAGATTTACATTAGTTTGTTACATTATATTTATATTATTTGCATTGTTATTATTATGTGACATAAAATTATAATATTGTCGTTATATTATTCCTAATACATTGTTTATTATTATTATTATATTTTACCTTGTTATGTTACATTATATTTTGAATTATTTACATTGTTATTATTATGTGACATATTGTTATATTACTGACATTTTTTTTTTTTTTCTAAAAAAATATTAATGTTTTTTTTATTATTTATTATTATTATTGATATTATATTTACATTGTTATGTTCTATTATTTTTTTTATTATTTACATTGTTATTATTATTATTATGTGACATTATATTTTTTATACTATTTACAATGCTATGTTTCATTTATTATTATTATTTATTTTTAGTTTTTTTTTCCCAATTTTTAATATTATTTATTACTTTAATACTATTATTTTATTCATTACTACATTATTATTATTATTTATATTTACATTGTTTTTTTTTTATATTTTTAATTATTACATTATTATTATTTTTTTTTTATTATTTTATTTTAAGTTACATTGTAATATTATTGTTACTTTATTTTTTTTTTACATTACAGTTTGTTACATTGTGGTAATTAATGTTACAATTTAATATTTATTACTTATTACTTTTTTATTATTATTATTAATAATAATATTATTTTTATTATTATTATTTTATTTTCATTATCAAATTATATGCTTAATAAATATTTCAATATTATTTGTAATTATTTTATTTTTAATTATCAAATTATTATTATTATTATAATAATAATAATTATAATAATAATAATTCCATTTTTTTCATTATCAAATTTATTATTTATTAAATCACATTATTTTTTTTTTTTTATTTTTTATTTTTTATTATTAGTATAGTATTTAATTTTTTTTATTTTTATTGTATGTTTAATAAATATTTCAATAATATTTGTATTTTATTTTTAAATTATAAAATTTTATTAATTATTATTATTAGTTATTAATTAGTAATTTTTATAAATACTAATAATAATTAATTGAATTTTTTTCCATTTCAAATTATATTTATTATTAATTATTTTATTGTTATTATTATTATTTTCATTATATTTTTTTAAATATTTCAATATTATTTTATTATATTATTTTATTTTTAATTCAAATTATTTATATTATTAATTTATTTTAAAAATTTAATATAAATAATACTAATAATAATAATTATTTAATTTTTTTTCCATTCTCAAATTTATATTATTTTTAATTTTATTTTTATTATTATTATTTTTATTATATTTTAATAAATATTTCAATATTATTTTTATTATTTTATTTTTAATGATCAAATTATTATTATTTATTATTTTTTAATTTAATAAAATAATAAAAATAATTTATTATATTAATCAATTTTTTTATTTTTTAAATATATTTTTTATTATTATTAATCACATTATTGTTATTATTTTTTTATTTTTCATTTAAAATAGTATTATTAATTTTCATTAAATTTTTATTTTAAATTTTATTATTTAATAAATATTTTAATAATATTTTTTTTTATTTTTAATTATTATTATTATTATTATTATATTAATAGTAATAATAATAATAATTGAATTTTTTTCCATTCTCAAATTATATTATTATTAATACATTATTGTTATTTATTATTATTTTCATTATATTTTTTTAATAAATATTTCAATATTATTTGTATTATTTTTTTTTTTAATGATCAAATTTATTATTATTATTTATTTTATTAATAGTAATAATAATACTAATAATAATAATTGAATTTTTTTCCATTCTCAAATTATATTATTATTAATCACATTATTGTTATTATTATTATTTTCATTATATGTTTAATAAATATTTCAATATTATTTGAAAAAATTTTATTTTAATGATCAAATTATTATTATTATTACTATTAGTATTTAATAGTAAAAAATACTTATACTAATAATTGCATTTACGGAGGTCCATAGACAGGAATTCCCGTACCAACACACCCGGCTCTGACTCCTTTGGGGGCCGCGTGGGCAGTCATACAGGCGGCCCGATTTGTAAGGGAGTTTTCCCAGAACTTAGTAAATGAGGTGATTAATCATTGGTACAGAATACCAATCGTGTGCAAGGAGGAAAAACCCCCAAAAAATCAGTATTTGTTTTTTATTGCACACGATTGGATGATGGAAAGTCAACAGAGCTCCGGGAAGGAAATTTCCTTTCAAAGTGAATGAAAATTCTCCTGGCACAGTAAATGTTACTCTATTTGCCTTCTGTGGATCCGCCGTGCTGGCTGAGGCCTGCTACTCCCAGACCATTATTATTATACAGGACCAACCTCTAGGCTCCGGCAGTTTGCACTAACACTTCACAATTTAGAAAGGCTCTGCCCCCTAGGTGCTTACATCTAGACTCTGCCAGCAGCGGCCTTCCCT